TTTAAGATACTGCCAACCTTTAAGATTTGTTTTAGTTGTTTTAAGTCAGGTCATTATACTAATCACTGCAGAAAACCAGGTTGTAACGTTTGTAAACGCCGTCACAATAGTTTAATTCATGTAAGTGATTGGAAACCGGTCCGTAATAATAACAATTTACGTAATGAGAATGTGAAAACACGGGTGGATTCTACCCCCTCAACATCGTCTGCGTCGAATGTCGACCAGTATGGTCAATCTTTGTCAGCAAACGTACGTACCTTCTACAGAGCCAGTTGAGGTATTACTTTCTACCGCGTTAGTCAAAGTATATGACAATAATAATTGCGAACATGTTGTAAGGGCAATTCTTGACAGTGGTAGTACATCGTGTATCATGACGGAAAGTTTGTTTTCCCGGTTAAACTTAAGACCTCAACAGATAGATAAAACAATTTTGGGTATCAATAACGTGACGTCACACGTAGGTAAAACTTGTCGTGTTAATATGAAGTCTTTAAACGAAAGATTCATGTTCAACTTTTCTTGTCTTGTTTTACCATCAATAACAAATAATGTACCCAGCCGTCAGATTGATATTTCTAATCTTAGACTACCTTCCAATGTTCGTTTAACAGATCCTACATTAAGCCGAGCGCTGTTGATATGCTGCTAGGCGCTGATCTCTTTTGGGATTTGTTAGAGTCGCAAAGAATAGTCTTAGGTAATCAAAAGCCTATGCTCTTTGAAACAAAGTTAGGATGGATTATATTAGGACCAATTGCTAATAGTCGCATCTCCTTACCGTCAAGTGATGTACGTCGTCATTTTGTAAAAGCGTTAGATGAACGTATTCGTTCTGATTATGACAATGAAAGTAATTTAAAGCGCTTTTGTCAATTAGAAGAAATATTTTCATCACCGTCATCACATTACTCAGTCGATGAGAGAAAATGTAAAGAACATTTTCTCAATCATATGTCTCGACTCGAGAATGGTCGTTTTTGTGCGCGGATTCCTTTGAATCAGGATCCTGATATTGGTCTGCTAGCCCCAGAAGTTGTACGAATAAAAAATATTTTGGGATGAACCTTTAAGCCCAGATATTAATAATCGTTAATAATTAAGGTGGATTGATAGTTGTAGGAAGTGACTCATACCTTGTTCATTTCCAACTGAAGAAGAATTAAGAAAAGCGTGAAATTTATTAATTAAACATTGTTAGATAGAGTCGTTTCCTGGATACAAGCTTTTACTGAATGATTCTGAATACCGCCATTACTATAGTTTTATGGTTATGTTTCTTACTAGAAACATCCAATATTAATACAGTCCAATCATATTTTTACAAATTATTATTTAATTATGAGCATCATAGGTTAATGCTTGCAAGCCCGCAGCTTCTCTTAGCATCAATCAGGGTGGCGTACTGGCCGATAGGTGGTCATAATTCGGCTACAGCCTGTTATCGTCTGAACCCATAATGTGTGCCGGTCGTCAAGGCCGAGGATGTCGGATGGTAAAGGTGTACCTTGCAATTTTTGTATGTTTTAGCAAAAATTCCATAGCATTTAGAGTTGGTTGGAGATTTGACAAGCAATAGGTTTTTAATGGCATTGTATCGCTTCATATCTCGAAAGAGTAAACCTCTCAACCTGTACTCTGATAACGGTACTTCGTTTGTTGGAGCTTTTAATGATATAGCTAAGTTTTTGAAACAAAATTGCAATTCCTTAGGCGAAAGTACGGCCAACAGTGGCATTTCCTTTCATTTTATTCCGGCTTATAGCCCTCATATGGGTGGTCTTTGGGAAGCCGGTGTTAAATCGACTAAATATCATTTACAAAGAGTTTTGGGCAATTGTAATATAACCCATGAAGAGCTTAACACCACATTGACTCAGATTGAGGAGATCTGAAACTCCCGACCGTTAATTCCGTTGTCTTCTGATCCTGTTGACTGCACGCCGTTGACGCCCGGTCATTTTGTTATTTGACGGTCTCTCATTAGTTTACCACAACCAGATTATACCGATTGTTGTTCGAGTCAGCTTACACGCTTTCATCGAATTGAGCAGCTACGACAACATTTCTGGACAAGATGGAGCAAAGAATATACTGCGGAGTTACAACTGAGAGTGAAGTGCCGATCTTGTAAAGGCAGTCTGCAGCTGGACACTTTAAGGAGGGAAGGAGGACAATCTGCCTCCACTGAAGTGGAGACTTGGAAGGATCGTGGCAGTGCATCCTGGATCTGATGGAGTGGCTCGTGTAGCCGACATTAAGACGTCGACTGGAGTGATTCGTCGCTCATTCGCTAAGATTTGCCCGTTACCAGTATCTTCAAACTATGGGTGAAAACAATGTCTTCACCGCCTGGGGGCATGTTTATGATTAAAAAGAATATATATTTAAAAGAAGAAACTAATGTCACTTGTCATCTTGCTTTTCTATTAAAAATGGTTCTCACGTATTAAATTTTATAATTCCTGGATTATTAATAATAATAATAATAATAATAATAATAATCATTTAATCTGTTCAGAACACTACAGCACTTACAAAAATCACAACACACAGAAAATAACAAATTTAAAATTAAAATTATACCAATTATAACTAAAAGTAAAAACATGCAAAAAACAAGTATATGACGTTTAAAAAAAAAAAAATAGGTAAAGAAACGAAATGAGGGCTGAAAGTAAGTGTTGCAATGCAGAACAGATAGGGCCTTTGCTCAGCTATGTGTTTACTACCCCTGGGGGTAGTAAACGCTGATATTCTGCAAATGCCTTTGCGTCCTTCGCACGTCAGTAACAGCAGTTGATTGAGAAGAATTGAGAAGAAATTTTACACCATGTGTTCCATTCTAAATTGATAAGCAGGCTAATGTTATTCGTTATTTCTCATTTAAACACTAAGTTTTTATATTATGTTGACTCGGCCAATAATAAAGGGATGATCTAAAAGTAAAAGTCAGGGTAATAAAATTTTAATTTTGCAAATTTAATATCATATGTACAATCTAAAACTTTGAATGCTTTTAGCTTAACGGAAACTTTCTTTTTAACTCTCTCAACAGGCTTAAGCGCTCGTACAACGCAATGGTTTATAACAATGGCTAAGTAGCACAGTAGCCCGCGGCGGCCGACATCACAAGCGAACCCTTTTTACACCTGCCATTGTTCTATGGCAGAAAACGTCTGAAGAAAATATTACAGCGTCACAATAATAGTAGCGTACCTAACTAGTCCGCTAAGAAGTCTGTTCTAATCCAAGATAGTAGAATGGCCCATATCAATCATATATTGGCATAACCAACCCACCGGCATTCGTATAAATAGATAAGAAATAAATAAAACAATCAAGGTTACTCGGTGAGCAATAAAGTCAATACAGGAAAATAGTTAAAAATATCATTAATTAGTTCGTCCGTAATGTATACAGAACAAACAATTGACGACAGTCAAACTGATTCTCTAACATATTCAAAAATAATCCTGGAAAGGTCTGTATTTATATAATTTGTGTCGTATAACATTTTTTAAATGACGAGTACAAACAGAAAACATTCAATCATGTTCCACTACAGTAGAAATTTCTTATATTATTTTTTTTATGATAAATCATAAAAAAATTAATATCTCGCAAGCGGAGTACTGAGAAATTGTTCAAAAATATAAATTGTCATAAAGTATGAATGATTGTATTGTAGTATTGAAGATAAAAATACGCATTTAACATTGCAATTTGATATCCTGTAAAAAATTTTGTGAAATTAAGCGCATATTTCAATAAAATAATTCTTTGGCGAAATTTAATCTTCTCTAGATATTCATCACCATCATTATCATCACCACCTGTCTATAAATCATATAGGTGACTAAGCCTTAGTCAACAACAATAACCCAGTGCGGTTTGGTTGACTTCACAGATATCTTTAAGTTTCTTCGCTGATGTGTGTAGGTTGCTGGTTGTTGTGGACATTACTCGGGATAACATATGTTTTAGTGACGAAACGATTTATACAATAACTATTCTGGCAGTTTGGCGAAGTTATTTATGTGATGTAAATTTGTACTACTTATTAAACAAAAAACAATATGTACGTGTACAGTGTGCAGATAAGATAAAGTGAAGGGTACGAGCTAAGTCAAGCTATAAACCAAATAGAGTAGCTTTGTCGTTAGCTACCTAGGTACTACTAACTATACGAAGAATATAGCATTCAAGGAGATGCGAATCGTCTGGACATCACTGTGTTATTTATTGCACCTTATTTTTTTGCTACGCGTTAACGCGCTTACGGTGAGTATAGTTACATATATCATCTATACTATTATAATAAAGCGTAAACACACACTTCTTTGTTGCCTAAGATGTCAGGAATTACAGCATATTTTTGGACAGTTCTTTTTTTAATAAAAAGCCCTACACTTACGTCACGCTTTAGGCTACATACATTTTAACGCTATTAAACTTAGGGGGTAAATATTTTGGATAAAAACCCTAATGTGGGAAAGAGACCATAAGTTGCTGCTAACATCAAGGAAGTAAGGTTGTCATCATGTCATGTCAGTTTGACATTTGCTATTGATAATTTGACAAATGTAAACAATAAAATAAAATTTTCACAATTTCATGCGGATTAAGTCTCATGGGAACAACTAGTACTTAATATTATAAATGTGGAAGTTTAGATGGATGGATGGATGTTGGTATAGATGTAGAGGATAGTCTGGAAGAACACAAAGGCTACTCGCTTTTGTTCTTTTTTTTAATTTGACGCGAACGGAGTTGCGGGCGAAAGCTAGTTGTATTTATAAAAAAGCTTTATAGAAAAAAAATATACAAAACAGTTATATTCAGTCACTTGAATTTGAGTAAAAACTTATAGCCGTGATGTTTGTTAATGTTGAAGAAGAATTTCATTAATTCAAATATAATTAGATATAAAAATGTTTTTGTAGAAATAAAAATAAAAAAAGGTGGTCATTCGGCATGAGGTATTTATCACATCGCCGGTTTGCGATTTTGGCAGTACTGGTATATAATAATATCCTAGTAGGTTTTTGTTGATTTTGTTAATACGTTATTTTAAATTAGATTTCAAATTGGAATACGACAGTGTATACTAAAATTATATTTGGTCTATTAAGACGATGCCGCTCGCGTACAATTTTCACCAGCGCTAAATTGAATTGGTATAATTCATTTTCATGGTAGTACCTACTGTTTACATTTCCTTGCTCTAATTTCTACTGAAATATTAAGAAATGTAATTAAAATGCAATGTGCGTAATGGCCTGTACCTAGCTTGCAAAAAAATATTTTGACAATCAATGTTTATATAATTTTGTTTTAAAGACGGTTTTGTTTTAATAAAAAAACTAGCTGTTGCTCGCGACTTCGTCCGTGTGATGTTAAAAAATAAATAAAAATCATAGCCTTTGCTATTCACACGTTATCAACGTAACTTTAAATGGTGTAAGATTTTTTTAAATCGGCTCAGTAGTTTTTGAGTTATTTGAGTACATATAAAAATACAAATCTTTGCTCTTTATAGTATTAGTATAGATTCAGACATTCCCTAATGTTTTTACATATTTATGAATTTTCGTTGTCAAAGACAAAGTTAAAGTAACAATGTCACAGAAACACAAATAGTTAACTAAAGCTTTTACGCTTTGTCGTTCGTTCCAACATTTACCCAGCGTTTTGTATACCCTCAATAAAAGTTTTTAGTTTTAAAAAAGTTTACCTAAACTTCGAGACTACAGTAACTACGAGTACAATATTTGTAAAAACATATTATTGAACATGAAGTCCGAAATATGCTTGAAATTATTTGTTGCATAAACCCAAAGTCGGACGTTGGTTGGTGGCAGACTAATTGTAATAGACGGAACCTGTTTTGATTCACGCTGTATAAAATACTTTTTTAAATTTTCGAATTTCAATTAAAATCAAACGCGAGCAAATTTCGTTAGTGCGGAATAGAAAATATCGTCGTCTATAAAACTCTCACGGACGTCAACTACAATCCTGTCAAAGTCCCGAAAAATCCACTTTCACTTCCCATCCTGAATGCACTGCACGTAAAATTAAAGATGTGTGAAGGTCAACTGATCCATACTAGACTAGCGTGATTGATTATAGTCTAAAGGAACCCAACTCGGAATTCAAAAAACTTCATTAGCTAAAGATTTATAAAAGCGCTGCTGGCAATATCTTTCCTCGTAGCTAACGAAATTCCACCGCATAGCGAATTAAACAAGGAAACCTAAAGAGTTTGTTGTTTATAGCTTCAGAAGCGACTGCCTTTGTAGTTAGTTAATAAATTTCTTTATAAAAGCCATTGAACCACCTCGTTTATTTTACTTACTTAAAACTTAGAAGTGATACCTAACTTAAATATTGTATATTTTATTTCTTCACCACCGAATAACTTATCAATCTTCCAATTTGATTGGCCTTGATAATGTTGGACTCTTTATATTTTTTTTTCACGGTAAAAAATATAAAATTAAGTTGTTTAGTTTTACATGAAAATTGCCTTTCGAGTGTGTGTATTATTTAAAAATATAAAGGGCTTTTAGTATATAAATGATCATTTAAAAGATGTAATTTGAAAAGGCCAACAAAATAAATGTTTAATAAAATTTAACATTAGATTATGGCCTCTCCATAATGTGAAATTCAATTATGGAGAAACAAATTAGAACAACAGCTTACTAAATTACTTAAGAGACAAAGAAATCATTTTGCTTTTTTTTATTATGAAGCGTGTTTTAAGGGCTTAGCAAACACTGGCACGTGCCAGCAACAAGCCAGCAAGTGCAACCTACTGCCATGTGTATTCTCGGTCTTACTTGAAGAACAAAAAAATATGATAACTAATTTATTCAAAGCAAAAAAAATACGTGCAGAAAAGTAAACTCGATGTTCTAAATGGCGTCATGCCAGCACAAAAAATATTTTAATTATTGTTATGAAATGCCTATATGGCAAAACCGCGCACATACTCGCTGTACTCGCGCTCGCTTTTGTGCCTTTCATTTATTATTTGTTGTGGTTTATACAACAATCGAATTAGTATTTAAACGAACTTACCTGAAATGAAGTTCCATTATAATTATACGAAAGGCTTTGTTCGAAGAGATTAGCATAGTTCACATGTGTCGCCATCTAACACTGTATTTGAGAAACAAAAATAAAAAAGGAATTGTTTTAATTGAAACAAAAAACACAAATATTGTAAGGAATGATAGCCTATGGAAATTCAATGACATTGATTTTTTCGATTTAGACTTTTTCAATGGACATTTTTCACACTGCCTTTTTACAAAACTTCTAAAAGTATTTCCATTTACCCATTGAGTAATTTTAAAAATCACGAGGAAATCCTTCGTGCCTCGACACAAACCGTCCCTCATCAACGAAAATCAATTAATTATTGAATAAAAATGGCGGCGTATCAAATTAACTTTTATTCATTACGTCAAGTAGATTTTAAATCTATTCAGAATCGTATTAATTATAATGCACTTCCATTTTTTTTTATTCATACAGTATGAAACAGAACTTTTAAATGGAGCTCTTCAAATCAAATCAAAATGGTCACAATTCATCAATTTTATCAAGTCAAATTGATGTTAAAATTTTGCTTATACACGCATATCTAAAACTGAACATTACGATTGTTCAGTTATAAGTGTACATCTGGAGCAGGCTTAAGTTCATTGTTAAATCAAATATAAATACCAAGTGTTTGATTTAACTTTTTATTTTAATTTTATTTAACTTTTTTATTTATAAAAATGCGGCTTTATCAAAATTTAAAAAGTATTTTAAACGCATGTATTCCAACAATAAATATTAGGTCCTTTATTTTGATAAACAGTTTGATTGAAAAGCACTTTGCCTTCTTTTCTCGAACAATTTTAATAAATTAAAACGATTTGGATGGGCATAAAAATTTTCCTACTTACAAATTTGCCGCTTCTTAAGAAAGCCAGTGCTTTTGTTTTCGTAGTCTGTCGTCGTTAAAATTCAATTAGTGTTCTTCATTGTTCACGCTTTTACGAAGTGAGAAAAAAACGCTACTTCATTTGCGACAAATTAGGTTAAATTGAAGATTTCCCTGACATAAACATTTCATTTTTATTTAACTTCAAGTAGAGATTGCAAATTATTGCTACTATTTATTACTTTGAATATACTGCATTGTAACTTAAATCTTACTCATGAGCATGAATAGCCGTCATATGTTAAAACAGTCAGGGCTGCAGAGGCAGGAACCTCCTCACAATGCGTGAGGTTTCTAAAATAACTGCCTTTTGAATCGGGCCCTTATCCAACTGTCTAATGAGAGCTGTTAATGTATTATTATCGGAGAGAAAAGATTTTCAAGTTCCTTGATCTTAAAACAACTGATGCAACTCTGGTAAAACACAACTGCAACATAAAATAAGTTTGTAAAAAAAACATAAAGACGATTTACCACCCCATTGCTTTGTTCACAGCAACGAAACCCGCAATTAGCTACTAGGTGAGCTCGACGATGTCGGCATTATGAATCTATAATTCAGTACCTATGATCAACATTCGATAAATACAAGTCACGCGCAAGTGCCCACTACCATAACAAGGGTCAAATTTGGTGTCTGCAAGTTTTCCACGAGGAACTGAATAAGGTTTCTTATCAGGTAAGGTCGTCTGACCATTGTTTTTGATAAAAAGACTTGCCCTTACCACAATCTGCCCTTACAATAGTGTATAGCTATATAACATTTTCTCATTGTTTAATTTAGAGGGTAAATATATTTAAAAAACTGCCCTGCGGAAGAGAAATAAGTAGAAAGAGAAGATTGCTAAGGTAACAGTAATTTTTATCTTATAGCAAGCTCCAACCCAATAACCTTTTGAGAAATATAATATAAATAGGCGCAAAATTAGGCAGTATCAGTTTATTTTATCTGGTTCAAGGCGTAACACGGTACGTCGAGACATTCTATTACGCTTTTAAACCATTGGACTAGCGTCTCCTTGAACTAGCTTCCGTTCTCGCAAAATTAAAAAGAAAAAGCATTTAATCGGAATCCGTACAGTAGTTTAGGTTTATAATATTAGCAAGACTTTTTACTTTTATACTTTTTTATTTGTTTTTATTAATTTATCATTTATTTTTGTTTTTAATACTTTTATATACGCTCTTTGATGGACAATGGTCAATTTTCACTTTGACTTTGACATTGACTTTGACAACGTGCATTATTGTTGACGTTAATTGAAGTTTCTTTTTGTATTAAAAAAATTATGGATTTAGGGAAAGATACCATTGAAAAGTTTAAATTTTAATTTTTTTGTTGGTGTTTATATGTTATATCTACATTTTGGAATGTGGTAAAACGGCAATTTAATAAAAATAACCTTTTGTACTTTTGTAATGTAATCATTCTATGCATATTTACATTATCTTAAAGACCTGCAAAACGAGTATTCATTATTAACAATTTTCCTTATTCACTCATACTTGATTAGCGTGCTCCGCTGTTTTATATATTTTTGTACGTTATTTTTATTAATCTATGTGTACTTTATCGTATTTTAATGTTACAGTGATGGTGACAAAGTTAAAGGGCAATAGTGTTGAAAATATATAACTTTGTCATTTGTTCTAAATATTATTTAAAAATGAATGTACTCCAAAGGACAGTACTACGGATGGGATTGTAAGTTGTAATAGTTATAATGCTCTTTTCCTACATTTTTGTTTTACCATTAAAATTTTAACCCAAAAAAAATCTGTAACAGCTCTTTAGATTACCTTTGACATAGCTTTGCTACATTTTATATTTGCTATGTATGAAACACATATAAAACAGGTTTTTACAATTTATCTACCCGCTAAGTTTTATAGTGTAAAAATATGTAGCATATTGTGTTTTATTAGTGTAGGGCTTTTTAAAAAACAATTATTTAAAAAAATACTGTGGTTGTGGACATCCCACATAGTAAAAAGTGTGTTTATGCTTCATTCTATTAATATAGCTATTCATTTTAAGAAATAGTTTTTCATAATTACTATTATTATTTTGCCTATTTGAATTTATGCACAATGTAACAAACAATACCATGTTATTTAAAATGATATTCATATTTTTAGTATTTCGAACATACAAAAATGCCAGCTTGGCACTGCAAATGTATGTCAACAGAATCAAACAGAAACAAAGTCAACCGTGGACAGTAAAGATGTACATCATCATGAAGGTCTCATGAAAACTTGGTGGGATGAACTTGGACCCATCAAACCATTGCACAGCATGAATTTAGTGAGGTAATTTTTCATATAATATGACAGACTGTGGTTATGGCTTGTTAAAGTAGAAAAAAAAAAATAATTAAGTAATTACAACATTTAATATCAGATTTAAAACTGAACATCTATGGCAGGGTCTAAGTGTATGTACAACCTTCAATGACAAATATTATTCTATTTCAGAGTACCTTTCATAAGAGATGGTCTTGTTCCGTGTTCACCAGAGGAAAGAAATGCAGCACCATTACGTAACAAAAAAATTCTAGATGTTGGCTGCGGTGGAGGGATTCTTTCCGAGGTAAGGTATTTATTGCTTTAAATAAATGATAGTGCGAAAAGTACATTATCCTAAGTTTTCATTATAACTCATTAAAAAATATTGTCGCATTTCTTTTAAAAATTACTACAGATGTCTGTTTTTCATTGTATGTATTACCACAAAAACACTGTTTAGTTAAATAAAATTTTTATTCTTTGACTGTTGCTGACTGATTTTATTAACATCAATGTGGTTAAAAATTTCACCACATTGCTTTAATTGTATTGCATTTTTCATTACATAATAATGTTCAATAACCATAATTTGTTTAAACTGTGTAACTAGTACTAGTCTCAGTAAAAAAGTATACTAAAATGTCTTTGAAACACCATCTATGTTTATTATTGTTAGACCCCAGTTTTAACTAGTTGAAACCCATTGACAATGTTTAAGATTATTTAACAAAATGCTCGCAGATGTCTGTCATTTACTATTTAGGGTAGACAGTATTAGTAAATTGCCTAATGACTGCTAATCTTATATAATCCTATATTATTATACTTTAATATATTTTAGAGTTTGGCAAAAATAGGAGCAACAGTGACAGGAATTGATGCTGGTAAAGATTTGATAGAGCTGGCCATAGAGCACAGTAAAATGAATGCCAAACTAGGCAACAATCTGCCTTCATACATCTGTACAAGTGTTGAGGTGAGAATATTTTATTAATATGTAAATATAATAAAAATATGACCAGTCTGTAAATGGAAGAGATACAACAAAGCATGATGTTTTATTAACATGCAAATTATTTTTCAATTCATTGTCTATTTGTAGAAATATCTGTAACTAGGAAATTACTTAACCAATGGTGTGAGGGTCAACTAGTATTTATTATTTTAAATAGTAATCTAGTCTAGGAATACATTTGAATTTATTATAATTTCAAATAGCATTGGTACTGGCATTATTGCAACTTGCTAGTTGTTCTCGAGCGGCATTATCGGCATGAAATAAAAACTTTACTCTTTACATTTGTTAAACTTTTAATTGATAATGTCAAAATTTAAATTCAACAATGAAAATTAGGGTCTTTGCTATTTATTGAATGGAAAATAACTACCCTTACAATGGCAATCTTGCTTCTTCACTGCTACTGGCTTGCTTTTTGTTACTTTGCCATATGACGATTTATTCCAGTTTATTTTGGTATTGAGGGGTATTTCTTAAAACAAATAAAGTTCAAAACTATGCTGATTGCTGACATATAAAAGAAATTTGTGTTTCCCAGGACCATTGTAAGGAACGTAAAAATTATTATGATGCAGTTGTTGCGTCGGAAGTGATAGAGCATGTCAATAATCAGGAACTGTTTCTGAAGAGCTGCATTGAAGCGGTGAAGCCCGGGGGAAAGATATTCATCACAACACCGAACCGATCACGAGCCACTCAAGTCCTAGGTATATGGCTTGCTGAATATGTCTTGAAAGTTATACCAAAAGGAACTCATCAATATGAGAAATTTTTAACAGTTCCTGAATTAACATTTTTGTTGGAGAGAAGTGAGTAAATAATTTATTTTTCTTATTTATATGATTGATGATGATGATGATGTTCCTCTGCGACTTCATCCGCATAAACTTATGAAAATGTTATTTTATTGTTAATGTCAAAATACCAATTACCTTACTATGGCCATATTGTTTTCTTGATGTTGGCAGCAACTTATGGTCTCTTTCCCACATTAGGGTTTTTAACCAAAATATTAACCCCCTATGTTTAATGGTGTGAAAATGTGTAGCCTAAAGCATGACGTAAATGTAGGGCTTTTTATTACAAATAGAATTATTCAAAAATATGCTATAATTGCTGACATCTTAGCCAACAAAGAATTGTGTGTTTACGCTTTATTATAATAGTGTAGATAAATCATTATAAATAGAATTTGTTTCAGATAATTGTCACGTAGAATCGACATGTGGCTTAGTTTATCGACCATTGGCTAACAAATGGCAGTTTACAACCTCGCAGCTGCTCGTGTTTGCGCTTCAAGCCAGGAAACTGGAATGACAGAGACAAAAGTGTACTTTTTATACGACCACAGACAACGTAATGTCATTTTCCAGTCTTTTCTATTTTATTTTTGTGTACTACCATTTTTTTTTTTCAATGAATTAAAACAAATTCATAGAATTGTTAACAGGTAAAGTAATCTGGTATCAAAATTTTAAAAGCTGTAAAACGCGATAGTTACCTAATATAATTATATCACAAAGTGATAAATAAAATTAGTTTAAAGTGTTTTATTTATTTTATTTCTCACTTGTAAATAGTTTTCTTCATTTAATTGATTTAGTGCGAACGAAAATGAAAGAAAAGTCGAATTTGTAGTTTACGGGTATGATGACGCCATCTGGGTAAAAAGTTAAATATTAATATATGGTAACTATTTACATTCTTGACATTAAATTGCATTTTAAAAAGATAACTGAGTAATTTTTAACAACTGTAAATGTTACTTAAGTACTTATAATAGATTACTATCTTACTAATATTATGTTGGACGGATGTTTTAACAGTCTAAACTGGTGAACGGATCACGATGAAATTAGGCATAGATGTAGAGCACAGTCTGGACGAATACCTAAAGATTGCTTAATTTCGAAAGACGTTTACCATAAACGCTTTCTTTAAAATTCAGAAAAGAGGTTTTATATTTTTTCCAAGGAAAAGAATAATTATATGTTATAAATGTATTTAAAAATTTTGGTTATTTTGTCAATGAAATAGAGTGTATGGCAAATGTCAGAGAACTTTTATTTGAAACAAAAATGAAATTACAAAAAATGTTATGATATTTGAGGGAGGTAGACGAAAATGTCGCTCATAAATCTTCTGAAGGCTCCCAGTAAATTGCTTAAAAAGCATGTTATTACATTTCTGTTAATTCGTCGCCATGATTTGGGATGTGAGTACTTTGTTTTCTCCTAATATATTTATGAGACAAGTTCCTAAGACATCTCTTATAGTACAAATATGAAACAGGCGAAAGAGGTTTCGGGACTTCGCTAAAAGGAAGTCCGTAGCCTGTATCTACTACTAACCTCTATACGGACTTCATATATGTTATTTCGACAATTCAAAAAACATAAAATAACATCATTGTCTCTATGGAGTAAATTACTTATTTATGAGGTCCGCGATGAGTTCCCTTCGTCCCTTCCATTTCATCTACAAAACTAATCTTGCATTTTCCTTATTTATATATATCTTGTAGTAACAGAGCAGAGCCTTCGTTACGTGGCAGTGAGACCATCGGCTTCCGTGTCACGTTTACGGCGTAAAATCTGGTATTTATTGGACCTACCGGACTATTGCGACGAGCTAATTGTACTAAAATCTAGCGATGAACGGGAGATACCGTTGACGTCTCTATGCCGCGGCAACGACCCGCAACATCCGTATATATTAGAAGTCTGGTTGCCTGAGAAACCAATGCTCTGTAAGTAATCGTGCTAAAACTATAATTTTTTTGTTCTAATTTTAATTTAAGGCTGTGAGAGATTTTGCGGATAAGTAATGTGTGATGAGTATAAGTAGTCTTATTGGGATTTTGTAATTTGTACTATTAATTTAAAAAAAAACAGCTAAAATACTGAAAAACTAAAGATGTAAATGTTAAAAAAGATCGAATTTAAACTGAAATGGTAGCAATTCCAGTTTTAAAGTAAAGTAATACCGCTCATTGATGTCGAAGGTTGTAATTTAAACTGCAGGCTATTTGTACTTATCGAGTACACAAGCGCAGTAAAAGTAAAATAACGAAGCGAGGCCAAAACGTCAGCGGAAATAAATCGACGGAATGCGACCGTAAACGACTGATATTTTGCCTCATGATATTTCCGTTGCAAACTTATTTCCTGATTTATTGCATTGGTTTGTTTGTTGTCATGAAATTTTTCAGTGATGTACTTGTATACTGCAAATTCGTATTTTCGTTTCGAACATAGATTTTCTGAAGTTCCACCTCAGTAAAAAAAGTAAACGTAATATTCTTCGGGATGTTAAACCCGTATACATTACAAATTAAGCCCGAATGCGCCGACTCGTTTACAGGCCACATTAATTTATTGCCTTGTTTAAACGTAGGATTATAATTGATATCACTTAAAATGTTACACATTTCGTGTTATTTTTAGGTATATCTGCAGGTAACAAAAACATGCTAACAATGGGTCATAAAAAATCAATTACAGAAACTAATCAGGATTCACACGATAATATAATACGTGAGGAGATATTGCAAGATGAGGTTGGCAAAACTGTCGGTAAGTTTACAGTTATCCGGGGGTGTGGCAGATTTTAAAGAGCTAGTTATTTTTTTCAATTAATTGCCTTTACAGAAACAAATCAGAAGTCTGTAGATACTACAGGAATATTGGAAAGCCATCGTTTGACCAATATATTACACGCGGACCAAAAGCGATCGGACTTATCTTTCAAATTCTCTAATTCGTCGTTATTTTTTAAAATTCCCCGACGGAACAGCGCGGATAGCTTTACTGGCATTTTGTTGAAGATACAAAACGATTTGTCGACGCTCAGCTCCAAACTTACTCATCTCGAAAATAAAATTCACGTATGACTTGCCATAGATATCTTTGACTTTTTTAAAAATAATTATATATATTTATAGACATTTTTATTTTTTTGGGATTCAACTGGTTTCCTACTTTTTGTTTGTTAAATAAAACGAGAAATGTTTTAATTCTGGTTTATTTCTATACATATGTTTCATACAATTTATACAAAATAAATATTATACAATAGAAAAATAGCCTTTACTACACTCTCATAAAAAAATTATCTCTTCTATGACAGTTTGTGATAAATATTAGCCTTGTTTAATTTTAAAAACTATAACACACTAACCTTTCATTTTAAAAAACGTCACCGTTTTACCTAACCATAAATTCTTTAAAACACAATTTCCAAAATGTATACTAAAATAATTTTGACACTATCAAAATATAATATAATCCCTTTACATGGTTAAATATCAATGTTTCTAATTCGATTAATAAATTATAACATAAATCATGGAATATAGATATGAGACACTAAATTATTTACAATCACCTTAAGGTATAAATTTGACTAACACAATGTATTTCGCCTAGGGAACAATTTCATTATAACATTCATTGCATGGCATCATATAAAATTGAAATAAAATAAGACAAAACATGACAACGGACTACACAATAAATATTTTTGGTAATGTCAGACCATTTAAATCTTATAGGTACGTTGATTTAGTATCCTAACTTTACTAACTGTACATGACAAATTTTTCTCTAAGTTTTAGAAAAACATTGTACACATAAAGTAGAAGGAGAGACCAAATATACTTCGTGTTGAGGCATTGACGTCTCCATATGGAATTTTCTTTCTGTAACAATAAAAGACTTGTTGATTACATTTGAAATTTTTACCCGACTTGCAGTAAACTGAAACGACAAACGTAGGCCTTAAATGATAAAATAACATTCAAACTCTCTTAAAATTAATTATTTTAGTAATTTTGTAAGCTTTGTAGCGAAGAGTTTAAAATTCGTTTGTGTTTAGCCATTAGAAGGGTACTTAATTGTTTTATGTATGTGTCATTGTGATCGCCTGAAGCATAAAACACTGAACCGATTTTGTATTAAGATAAACTGATAAGTGGTAAGTCTTATCGAGGTTCTACTGTATTTGAATACAATACCTTGTACTGCAGCTGGTACACACTCTGCATGCAGCACTTGGTCATGACGAGGAAGCCGCACATGCGCTGCTGCATGCCGAGCGCGTACTCGATGCTGCGGATCAGGTCGTTGGTCTTCAGCACCAGCAGCGCCTCGCGGTTCACGTGCTCCAAGCACTGAGTCACGTGATGCAAGAAATTTGGTAACTCATTCTGAAATGTTGATTTCTGGAACACAGAACAACTTTTAAATACCCTAATAGTTAATTATCTTACGGCTATTACTTACGAAGGACCCCGCAATGTCTGAAACTGGTTGGTGCCATCACCGAAAAAATAAACGTGAGTAAAAGCCGTAAAATAATTAACTCTAATAGTTGTATAATGTTATTTTAATTTACAGACATAAAAATGTGAGGTGAGTATTGTGGTTTATACATTAAGAACATTTGTAATAACGAATTCAATTAGTACCCCATTTCTCTTATGATTTTACTATCTATGAGTACCTTACTAATGTTATAAAACTTTTTTTTTTTATAGCATAGGTGGCAAACGAGCAAGCGGCGCGCCGCCAAAATGGCGAAGCGACCGCTGCCCATAGACATCCGCAATTGCAAATGCGTTGCCTACCCTTATACGACGGAGGAGGAGACGCACATAAAGACCATATTTCCCCTTTCTATGCATCTCCTCCACCGTCAAATCCACTTCCCCTTCCCAACCTCTCCTTATAAGAAAAGGGTGGTAAAGAGAAAGGGACTTAAATTAGGCCTCCGGCACCACACTCATCAGACGAAACACAGAATTGCTTCCATTTCACGCCTGTCTTCTGTGTGGTCGTGGTATTACACCGGGCGTGCCGGCCCATTCGTGCTAAGATGTTAAAGCGGGCACTACCACTGTTAAAAAGTTAAGTTTCAATGGATTTATAGATTTTACTAGATAACTTTAGAACAGCTAAACAGATTGTTTAAAAGTCAAAAATTAAACATGTTTTTAAAATGCCATAATGAAAGTCATAGGCATCAAGTTTGAAAATATAACATTGTATTAAGGAAAAATAATTACCTCTCGAGAAGATGGCTTTGTTCTATCAATACCCTTTAATATCACATCCCATGGCCTTCCCGTAACCATACAGGCAAACAAACCATACAGATCTTTGGGTATGCCAAGTTGTTCCGCATGTAATTTCATCTCATCTTTGTCTCTTGCTATTATAGAGAGCCATAACTTTGAATAATGGTATCTGAATTTCTCAGACAATTGCTGGAATTATCCACAATATTAAGACATTTCAATTACATACATTCATTTTAATTAAAAGAACAATTGTTCACTCCATGTCGTCTATTAGAGATATGTATTGCTTAAAGCCTAATCAAGAAAATAATTGAAGGAATCAGTTTCATATTTTCTGCTTTTTATGTTTCTAATCAGGCTATACAAACAATTGTTTATCTAATATTCACTAATCTATAACTTACAGCATACAAACCGTGGTCCAGAAGGAATACAGTCACATCTTTATCTCCGGGATCTTTCTTCACAAGTATGTTCCCTGGATGTGGATCACTGTGCACAAATCCGCTCACGAATATCATATGCGAGTACAGGTCGCCGAGTTTTAAACACAGATTATACTTGTCTATTTTATGTTCCTAGAATAGAAATTAACCTTTATCTTATTGCTATAAAACAACTAATCAGCACATTTATAAACATTATAACAGATTAAGTATAAATATAGTATGAATTACAATAAATGGTCTGCTGTAAATGTATTTAATATGAGCATACTTACATCAATATATTTCACATCATTTACTTGTCCACCATTAACATACTCCATGACCAAAACCCTCTCTGTACTGTAGTCCCAAAATATCTTTGGTACCTTCAACCATTTGTAATCACTAAACATAGCTGACACTCTCTCTGCATTTTTACCTTCCTGCATAAAATCCAACTCCTTTGCTATATTCTTTTTTGTTTCATCAACAAGCCATTGCATTTGGAAATCAGGAAATACTTTAGACATTGTGGTTATTATAAATTCCATCCATTTTAAGTCAATTTTAGTATTCTTTCTAACAAAATGATGCTGTACCTTAACAGCCACCTCAGTACCATCTTTCAATTTAGCTCTATGCACTTGTGCGAGGGATGCAGTGCCAAGTGGCTCAGGATCAAATTCAATAAACAATTCATTAGGCTAAAATATACACATTGAAACAATAGTTAATATAAAATTTATGATAGAAAACAAATGATGCAATAAAATTCGATAATTTACACTTACATCCTGGTTTAAATCTTCCTTAATAACCTTGTAGAGTTCCTCAATTGTATTTCTAGGGGCATCTTTATGCAAAACACGCATTGTCGTCACGTATTCCGAGGGCAACAGGTAGTCGAGCGCACCTACGTGTTGTCCGACTTTTATGTACACACCTTTATTTGTTCGGCATAATTCAAGCAGTTTCTCCGCACCAATTTGATGCGCTTCACTCTTGATTTGAATGTACTCTTTGGAGTTTTTGTCCCAATCTTTGCTATATAACATAGACTTGTAAGTTCTTCCAATATCCACAGCAGTATATGCTGCCCTCATAAGCCTCACAACAGCCAAAGAATTGTAATCGGTGTCTCGATATTTCATAGCAGCTACTGCACTACCAATAGCTACTCCGCCACTTAAACCGTACCTAACTAATCGGGGGACTTTGCTATAAGCCATTTTAACTAGTATCTTCACAATCTCTATCACATTTTAAAACTTATCAACTTCTTAATACAAAACCAGAACGTTTTGTAAATCAGTCTTCTGTCTACATGTTACGTGCACTTATGACTGTCAGTGTCATATGCTCCTGATTCTGACATTTACATGACATTGTCAACTTGATCTTGACAGTAATTTTAGCCTTATCGTTATTTTATGTTAATTTTTAAAGATGTCTTACAAAAAGTTTAAAAAAATGATAATAATTATGTTTCCCATTCATTATTTTGTTACTGTAAGCAACCAACTTAGTTCTTATCCAATTTCTTATAAAAGAGCAAGGAAAACCTTCATTAATAAGTAAAGTAAATAGTCGACATTGTTAAAATTGAAGATAAAAAGTGATTTTTGCCAATATTCCGACCGACTGGAAAGAAAGAAACAGTCTTTAGAAAAGGTTAAGGAATGATATTATAATACAAAATCACGTAATTGTTTTTACATTTTTTTTAACTCTCCTGTAATTTTACCTTAAAAATGCATTTTAGGTTCTTGCAACTCTAACAATTTTCGCCATCTTTCTTTCGTTTGTGTTCCGTTTCCGTTGACAGATCTTTTTCAGGTTTGGTCTGCAAAAATGAAGGCGAAAGGAGAGGTAAGAGGAATAAAAAATAAATATTCTTATAAAACGAGAAGTGCGGTTTTGTTCTAAAAATGTAGAAAACGTCTAAATTAGTGTCAATCATTGAATGGTCTAAGTTATAACTATGATGCAGTGAAGATGTCAGTGGTACACGTTGTCTTACCGCGCATTTGTTTAGTTTTTGCAATTTAATTATGTTAAAAGTGTATTATTATTTTGGAATAATTCAAATATATACCAAAACTATCTAAACGTTTGCCGTTATGAATCTTTAGTATTAATAGTTCTGAAAAACTATTACATTTATAGGTTAGGTACGGCATGTCGTGTTGTTCTTGTGCATCAGACATAACAGAAAACATATAATATTATGAAAACAAGTACTTTAGTATTATTTTAACTTGTAAATATGATTATTTTGAAGATTGGTAGATCTTAAAGGCGAATAATATTTGTTTATTTCAGTTGAAGGAATACGAAGTGATTGGCCGTAAGCAGCCTTCAGACAGCGAGCCCAAGCCGCCGCTGTACAAAATGAGGATTTTCTCTCCGGACCCGATTGTTGCTAAGTCTCGGTTTTGGTATTTCTTGAGACAACTGAAAAAGTTCAAGAAGACTACTGGAGAAATTGTCTCTATTAAGGTAGTTAAAACTTTATAGAAGTTTGCAAACAGCTTTTATTTTACTTAATGCTCACATATATTGTGTATTTATTAATGCTATTTATCTATATCTGTACTATTTTAAAGACGAAAGATATGTATTTTGTATGTATTGAAATAACTCAAAAACTACTAAACCATCAATTTTAAATATTATTGCACCATTAAAAACCTCATTATAAGTAACATAGGCTATATTTTTTATTTCCATTTGGAAAGTTTATTGTGTTTGTTGTTGTGGTCCTGATTATGGATTGGTTTACCATAATTTATTATGTAGATATGTAGACAGTAAAAGAACATAATCTCTACCCTGTGGATGCAAAGATGTTATTGTTTATGTATAATTGATTGTGAATAGATGTTTCATTTTATAATAACTCTGGTGCTCAAATAAATGTCAGTGCTTGTAGTGTTAGTGCACATAGTGGTAACTGCCTTTGTTTGGATTAGCCATAAGCATTGAATACTCTACCATAACATCAAGTATATTTTGCAATTACTCCAGAACTGATTTGAGTTCCCATTTATATCTTTACTTTTATCTCAATTTGTGTAATTTATACATGTAATAAAATTGGAGTGTCTGTTTGTATTATCAAAAAAATAAATTCCAGATTTTGGGAAAGTGATGTATTTGCATTGCTGAAAACGAAAATAGCATTTAATTTTTTTTGTCTGCCTGTCTGTCCTCAAGCCGTGTTTGTTCTGGGTAATCTCCGAAATGGCTGGGCTGATTTAAACCGAACATTCACTGAAGGGTAGCTGACTGATAGGCATATTATAGGCTACTTTTTTTAACTTATTATTGCATAGATGAAATAGACGGCAACAGCAAGTTAATAAGATATAAATAGAACATGGAATTTTACATAGACTATGTATTAGGTTTTTTTTTCCTTTCGCATGGTTGGAATTGCAGATGACACTTAATTATTAAAACAATTGTCAATTACAGGAAATTCCAGAAAAGAGTCCCATCAAGATCAAGAACTTTGGTATCTGGCTGCGGTATGAGTCCCGGTCTGGTGTGCACAATATGTACCGCGAGTACCGCGACCTCAGCGTAGGCGGTGCAGTGACCCAGTGCTACCGCGACATGGGCGCGCGGCACAGGGCACGCGCTCATTCCATACATGTATGACACTGTTTCTTTATTATAATTGAGTTATTGGTTAATGCAGTTTTTGTAGCCAAATTCAAATATAACAAACCCCTATGTAAATATAAACAATAACTTTTACCTCTTAAACAATGTTAGCCAAAGTAAAAGTGAAAAGTGTAAAATTTCTCTTTTCAATTCTATCCGGCCATAGGAGATTTGGCCAACAATGAAGAATATTTTTTTTTGTTTAAATGTGTAATTTAAGAAAATTGTTAAGGTTAATAATCATGTCAGAGGTGACCTTTTCGTTGTGGTATTTTTAATGTTATGACTGTCCATAAATCCCTTTTTTTTTTTTCAAATATAAATGTGTATCTAAGTATTAATCAGTATGGTTCTGAAACATTTTGATGGCTTGAAGTGTTACTTGTGTATAGCGTGCGTGCATGATGTAGCAGATGACCTTAGGCCACATTGATTGAAACAGCTAATCCAATTTTGTTCAACTTAATGATTTTTAATATTTCTTTCCAATATTCCAGATAATCAAAGTGGAGGTAATCAAGGCGTCGGCGTGCAGGCGGCCGCAAGTGAAGCAGTTCCACAACAGCGGCATCAAGTTCCCGCTGCCAAAGCGCGTGCATCACCACAAGCGGCTCAACACCTTCGCATACAAGAGGCCCAGCACATACTTCTTGTAGTTTTGTAACATATTACACCTAATAAATGCCATGTAATGTGGACAATACTGCATTTTTATTGCTTAAACGAGTTCGAAGGAATATAAAAATATCATTTTGATTTTTACTATTTACCCTCATTGGTTATCACAGTACACATATTTTTTTTATTTGATTTAAAGAATCGGGCTTTTAAGGGTTAATTTACTTGGGACACTGACAGGATGCTGAGAGATTGTAACTTGGCTTTTAAATAACGCAACAAACCGTACTGTCCAAACCCGGTGAATCTGTAAATGCTTCTTCAAGGCAAACAGTGACAACTCAGTCAAAAAAAAACCGTACTGTTGTAACAAACAAAAAAAATCCTTCATAGCAAACTCAGGACTAGCGAAAGTTAGTTAAATACAGGATATGTAATCGGGATTTTTCAAAAATGTACATCTTGTGTAGTTAGCGACTTAAGTGTTATTTATGTCCTCAGGATAAAATTAGTTTTTCGGTCTATATTGATATCGATTAGTATAAGTTTATCATTAGCCGCTGCACGAATGGCTTTCAATTGAGATAGGTGTCAAATGTGTTCGTCGGCATTTTAGTGCCCTTTTTCTTCCCTCAAAGGTATATGAAGGAAAGTAGAATTGAGAGGAGAGTAGATGTAAAAGAGGAAATAGTGTCGCCATATAAATTGCATTTAGGTATATAGATTTTCAGATCTATATTACCAATTCGTTCTAATTATAAAAAGTTCTCTAATGTTGGATGGGATACAATACAAAAAAAAGACAATCATTTTTACTTCCTTTATTTAATAAAATACGACAAAAAAAAGAAAATTACATTTCAAGATTGATAAAATCACAAAACGAAAAGATTAAAAAAGTTGTTTTCAATAACAATAATTATTTAAAAATAATAGGAATTTTACTATTCATTATAATTATTCTGCTTCATTTGTATTTGGCTTATATATAATCGTAGTACATTGGTCTATACTATGTTAAAATAAAAAAAATACATTTTTTAAGTAAAATTATAGACGCAACCTTTATTTTGAAAAGAAAGAAGAGGATAGAAGAAGGGATAAACTGCATCTCACTCAGCAGACAGCACAAACTATAAACTTTTTCACTAATAAAACAAGAGATTCGGAATGTAATTAGGAAAAAATTAAAGCACAGGAATAACAACATTTTTATGTAGTAACGCACCATTAAATGCTACATGTCGGTTTTTGTTCAATTTAAATAAAACGTTATTTTTCGCTTTCATTTATGTCAACAGATATAAAACATTTCGATGGCTTCTATGTATACAATCATACGTTTCAATCGCAAACTTTGAAAGACAAATCTTTGATCATTGACAAACGTAACCAATAGATACAGCTATTTTCTTAATGTTATTTTCACATTCATACAGAAATTAGAAATTTTGCGGCGTCATCTAACGAGTAGCGAATTCATATCCGTGGAATAATCGAGCTGTTTCCGGAATGTATTATCGCAACGTCACCTGTTGGCGAGTAGCGGAATTGACATTCGCGAAACGATGTCTAAAATATTCGAAGAGGAATCTGGAATGTTCTTGAAAGTGCAAGTGTTCGAGTGTCAGTGGTGTGTCGTTAAGTGCTGCTGTGCTGTTAGTAAATCTGTGTTTGTGTGCTTCATGTAGTTTTTTTTTTATTTTTTATCATGTAGTGGGCACGGACAACTGTGTGAGTGTAGTGATTAATAAAATTTAAGGAAGAATTTATTAAAGTGTTTAACTCTATCCTCTACGCTCGTAACAGTATTTTTCAAATTAGTTAAAAAACTCTGGCTTACAACAGTTTACATACGAGCCATCGACATGGAAACAGTTATGTTTTCCTGTGAAGTCTTCAACTTCTAATATTGTACATTGTTACACATGTTTATGGGAAGGATGTGTCTATTATAACACATTTGTGACAACCTTAGTGTTGGTCTCCATAACCTTACTTTTTATAGGTTTTTTTGTTTAGAGGAATTTTACGAATATATACCGTACATCTTGAAACTTAATACCATTCTAAACTAAACACATAATGAAATAATATTACTTACATATACATTAAGTCCAAGACATACATGCACATTTCTCCCAATGTGATTAATAAACAATTTGTTTTAAAATAAAAATCATTCACAAACATTAAAATAAAAATAAAATACAGTAAATGTCAGTAACAAATACAAATATTAAAACATTTTTAAATATCAGGGGTTTTAAAAATAACTATTCAATTCCAGTATAAAAAAAAACATAATTAAGTTACCCTTCAACATTCCGGACTTAAATAAATTCATTGAGAGTTACATCGTGCAATAAAACTAAAATCAGTTACAATATCTAATAAAATAACGTTTTATATTTCAAACGTTGACATATTTAAAAAAATAGAACCTAAATTGAAGAGAACGGTGTAATTCAGTGTAGACAACGAGATACTCGTCTTCAACCTAATAGGAGGTAATCCTTTGAGAAATATGTAAACTAGATATAAAAGCTACTCAAATGATCTACCCTCATAATTTAATTTATGCCTGGATTCACCGGCGCCAGTGTTTACATGCCAGTACACTCTTTGAACGTTACTGTCATGTTAAAGCAGGCATAAACCATGAAATATCTGGATCTTAAGAATACTTAAGATCCAGATATTTCATGGTTTATTTTCAGATTTTATTAAATCTGAAAATTCATGATTGACATAAAACGTCCGTTTATGCCCGGTTCACACTTGACCAGTACTGGTTAACAGCAAAGCATTGATTGTATTGTACTGGCGTTAATATACACTTGCAAATTAAATGCCAGTCCAGTTTCAAGTCAAGCAATGTTGTCCAAATGTGCAGGGCATGTATGTTGTGTAACTTTTTGAAACTGAAATGTTCCAATTGGCGCCTGAGATGAAGGATGTTTTCAACACGCCAGCACCTTGAGCGCGAGCTTGGCGGCGGCGCGCTTGGCCTGCCGCTTGTTGTGCCCGACGCCGTGCACCGTGTGCTGCCGCCCGTCCTTCGTGAACGTCACCGGCAGCATCACCTTCGACACCTCGCTCTTGCACACCATCGCATTTCTACAACACACCCCATATTGTAAAAAACTTTTAATTGTCAATTCTTTATTTAACTAGCTTTCGCCCGCAAATCCATTCGCGCGGAATTAAAAAAAACAACACAATTACGTAACCTATGTATTCTTCCAGTATCCTCTACATCCATGCTAAATTTCACAGAAATGGATGTTTGTTAGAGTTTTAGGTTACAAACTCTAACAAACATCCATCCATAATTATCTATCTCCTTATCCTACTCCCGTAAGGTCGGCGCAACAGGTTTTTGTCCTCTATATAACTCATTTGTCATCACTCCCTTTTTGACATGTGTACCTCCACACTCATAACTAACGTATTTGTAACATGCGATTCATCCCTCATAACATGCCCATACCATGGTAACCTTTTCTAGTATTGGTACTACTCTCAAACTTTAAAACAAATGTCCATCCATAAAAACTTTGGCATTTCTAATATTAGTTTGAAGTAGATGTAAGAGATATTTGTGTGTACCCGAAGTGCGGACAGGCGTAGATCATCTCTGAGAGCACGGCGACTGGCTGGCGCGGCACGCGGCGCGCGAAGGCGTGCAGCTCGCGGTGCATGACGCGGTACAGCACGGCCCACAGCGCGCGCAGGCTGCCGCCGCTGTCCACGTACACCGCGCCCGCCAGCGACTCGAATATGTCGCTCAGCGTCTGACACCAGACATCACATCGCAAATTACAACAAACTTTTTAAAAGTACACTTTATTGCTATATTTTTTTTTAATAATGTGATTTATTAGCGAAATTTCATATCAAAAAGTGTTTTTAAACTCCTTCGCCAAGTTCTAAAATATTGGTCGAAGCAACTGACGTTTATTTTGGCGACGCTGTGTTGTCAATACACAGTTTATCTACATCTATATCTATTTTACACATAGATATATAATAAAATTGGAGTGTCTAAATATGTCTAAATTTCGGGAAGATGATGTATTTGCTTTGTTAATAATGATCATATTTAATAATATTTTGTCTCTGTGCTGCAAGCTGACTTTGTTCCGGGTAATCTCCCAAACGGCTGAATTGATTTTAACGGGACTTATACTGGATGGTAGCTGACATAGACAGGCATATTATAGGCTACTTTTTATCTTATCTTTAATTTTAAACTATATTTTTATTCCGCGCTTTCAAAATGGCGACCGGTCCGCTATCAGGTCAGCTGCTGTGTGTGCTACTGTCAGCTGAAAGACAAGTCAAATCGGCCCAGCCGTTTCGAAAATTACCCGAAACAAACGAGGCTTGCGGACCGACAAAATTTTTAAATGCGATTTTCGCTATTAACAAGGCAAATACATCTTGCCGAAATTTTCTCTTGATATTAAAAACAGACGCTCCAATTTTATTATAATACATGTATAGATAAATAGAAGATTGCTTATTTTCTTGAATACCTTTGGCACTTCGACATATTCTGCGATCTGGCATTCCTCTTCCTCGATGAGGTAGAGGATGTCCTCCGTGATCTCGTGGTTCCTCTGCTTCTGGTGCTCCACGAAGGTCATGATGGCGCTGCCCAGTGCTGGGTTCAGCTGCGACAGAAGGTATCTGAAAATGTTCATTAAAGTAACGGTAATTTTAAAGTGATTTTCGTATCAGCAACGTAAAAAAATATCGACAAATATGGAATTTTTCTATCACTCTATACTATTATAATATAGCGTAAACACACACTTCATTGTTGCCTAAGATGTCAGCAATCACAGCATATTTTCGAATAACTTTTTTCTTAATAAAAAAAACCCTACACTTACTTGAGGCTATATATTTTCACGCCGTTACACTTAGGGGTAAATATTTTGGATAATAACCCTAATGAGGGAAAGAGACCATAAGTTGCTACCAATATCAAGCAAGGTTGTCATGGTTTGACATCATGTCATGTAATTTTGACATTTGCTATTGATAATTTGACAAATGTGAACAATAAAATGAAATTTTTATTATTTTATGCAGTTGAAGTCGCATGGGAACAGCTAGTATTAGGTATAGACAATACAATTTTACTACATGAATAGATATTACACTCATGTTAAGGAACATTTTATGCCACTTTAAGTTTGTTTTATATTTATTATTTTCACCTATTCCTGTATGTATGAATGTATGTATATTGTATATATACATCTAATTATGTTAATATGTAGGCAGCTGATGTAGTATGATGTGCACATACTTATTACCCGCTATAAAACTAATCTTATCGCATGATTAGCAGTAAGAGAACTCTTTTAGAGTTAACCTCACCAGTACTAACTTTCAATATGTATTTACTTACTATTGTTTTCTTTGTATACTAAGTGTAAATAAATAAGATATTGAGATAGATAGTCTTTGAATGATGAAAGTGGTTGCCATGGTCATTGTTTACTAAGAATACTGATAAAAGACAATTAAGAGGTCTAGATAAATCGTTTTAATCTACATATAAACTAATATAATAAAGCGTAAACACACACTACTTAGTTATGTAGGAGGTCAGCAATTACAGTATGTTTCTGAATAATTATTTTTTAATAAAAAAGCTCTACACTTACGACACGCTTTAGGCTATATATTTCCACGGCATTAAACTTAGGAAGTAAATAATTTGGCATAAACCGTCTTGCGGGAAAGAGATAAAAACTACAAGCTGACAACATCACGGAAGCAAGATTGCTGGTAGCGGTAATTGTTATCCAATGACCAAGGCCTTTATTGACAATTGTACATTTAAATTTTGACATTACGAATTGGAAATTTCACAAATAGAGGCAACGTGTCTTTTTCGATTAGGATTATCATTATCTGACATATTTTTTTATAACTCCCGTTACCCAACAACCCTCTCTATGGACTTGTTTGTACCCCAGAACTACCGCCAAGTATTACTTCGTAGGGGTGGTCTCAGCAATTGTGCTTTTCCTTCTCGCTCTCTTTGCTAAAGCTTTTTAGTTCATTGAGTTGGCTCTCCGCCGTATTTGTTCAGCACGCCGAACTTTCTATAGTATTATATTCGCTTACTTTGTCCAATGCTTCTTAATGATGGCCGATAACGGCCGAAAACAGTGTACAACGAAGTATGGCACAAAGTAGGCGAACACGCTATAATATACAGATGTATGTATATGGGTACACTAACTTCTGCAAGCCGAGTTTGACGACGTACGCCGCGAAGGTGACGTTGTTGACGAGCGCGGAGCGCAGGTCGGTGAGGTCGCCGGGCTTGAAGTCGGTGCACTGCTCGTAGATGTGCGAGGTGATGAGGAAGTCCAGCAGCGCGTCGCCGAGGAACTCCAGCCGCTCGTAGGAGCGCGTGAGCCGGTTGCGGATGTACGAGGGGTGCGTCAGCGCCTACGCAACAACACTCCACTGGCAAGGTACTCTCTATTGTGCAGTCTGGTCAGCGGCCACTAAAACTGGCCGTTTTAACCTTTTGTATACATTGATAACGCGGGACAAGTGACGAATTGGACTATCTTACTTATATTTTATTAATATTATGATTGCAAAAGATGGATGGATGCAAGTTTACTCAACGGATCTCATTGAAGTTCATAAATGTAATACAGTTTGCAAAAACACACAGGTTAATAATTATGTTTTTGTTTTATTTCGTGGATATGGAGTAGCGGGTGACAGATAGTCTTACTAACATTATAAATGCGAAAGTTTATCCTATCCTACCGTATCCTAAACGGCTGGACGGATCTGGATGAAATTTGGGATAGATGTAAAGGATAATCTAGAAGAACACAAGGGCTATTTGCTTTTTTTATTGCGCGCGGACGGAGTCGCGGGCGAATGCGAGTAATATTATAAATATTACAGTTTGGATGGATGGATAAATGTTTGTTACCACGTAACTTCAGACACCCTCATGCTAATAAATTTTTAAGCTAGTTTTTTTATAAAACTTACCTCTAGTAAAAGCGTAGGATCGTTAAATTTGTAGTTTAATATCTGCTCAACTTCTTGTCGACTGTAATTCAATAGGAAGTCGATCTCGGTGAGCGGCACGGGGTTCGTAGACAGCACTGTCCGCACCGGCCGTGTCAGAAGCGACGCCAAATCGTCCTGAAATAGGCAGATTATTTTATGTAAAATTTATCTGCAAGGAATTATTAAAAAATGTTATAAATATAGCCATGAGAGTCAGTGTAAACATAGCTTTTTATTATCGAAAGAATCTATTAAATCTCCCAAGTTATTTCGAGTTATTTTAATACATACAAAAATATAAACCTTTCCTCTTTGTAATATATAACGAATAAATTAATATCTTTAGAAAGCAACATTCACAACTTCGTTGGGGCCACATTTATTACCAGAATTAACCGCGCGAACGAGGTCGCGAGCAAAAGCTAGTCGATAATACAACACTTTTATTCATCTACGATCGAATTTAATTTTGCTACAAAAAAAATTAAATATTTTTTATTACCGTTGAACGGAAATTATTCAATTGTTATACAACTAAATTTGACAAATGAGTAAAAAAAGAAATATCTTTTTATTTTGTTTATAGGATTACCAAAGCATATTGTTTATTTGTAAAGGTCGAAGTGGATGTAGCTAGGTACGCTACGAGGCCATGAAATGTACTTAGACTGATTTAATTTAAAATACGGCGTTTCCGACGGCAACTAAATTAAAGCGATGACGTTGGACATGACTTGCCTATTCTACAATGAATAGAAAACCACATAATAATCATTATTAAGAATTTCATAACATACATATAGATTATAGGCTAATTTCATAATTACACATCAAAAATCTTTAAATATGAAAGTCACATTATTTTTATCTATTTCAGTGATACATACTCGTAGATATGAATAAATACTAATCTGTTATCTTGTGGCTGAATATTTTAAATCTTACTTAATTTATACTGTTACAGTACCATCCATCCATCCATCCAATATAAAAATACGCAAGGTCTTAAAAGACAGATGTAATTAAATAAAACAATATACAACTTACCTTCTCAGGTATAATTTTCATCCACTCCAACACTTTGATAGCTCCCAAAACGCCTCCGTGCACGAGATACGTGCCCACTAACGCTTCCACACAATCTGCCACACTCTGAAAATAACACTTACATATTTAAAATCGTATTTTAATACAAAACATGGAAGTGATCCTCTAACATTGAATACATCGTACATTAGATTCACGCGTTGACTAATCAATATCGGTTTGGAAAAACCCTTGGTTAGATGCACAAAGAGTTGCACGATGAAAGTACTTTCGAAATCCAACCATACAGATTTCACAGTTGAAATGGAAGTATGTTTATGATTGGCTTAAATGAATACTGGCTGATTAAATGACATTCCGAATTTTGAAGAGTTACACTTCTTATGAGATCATTCAAAACGTTGGATGGGAAACCAGGTCTAAAACACCTTGTATGTATCTTAGTAGTGCAATAAATATATATAGACTATAAAAATATTTATCGGATGACTAACTGTTTATCGGATGTCTTGATAGTATACCTTGTCGTGGGTGACTTGAACGGAGACATAGCACTGCATGGAGTTCTGCGCGCCCCACTGGGGCTCTTGCTCGGCCACGCCGTCACACTCCGTGTATCGTTTCTCCATCTGTGCGATGCTCTCACTGGACAGCTTGCCACTTAACGCGTCTTCCAGTGGAAACTGCATGCCTAGAAGGAAGGACGGTCTAATCTGGAAATAAATACCAAAGTTGTTCGAGATTTCAGACCTATTATGACTTTAGTTTTATGATACTCCGATTAAGTGTAAATTACGTAATCAAATAAAACGAAGCCTTGAAATTGATACCACGTGTAGAAATGCGCCCGTGTTTTTTTTTTATTTGATCTGTAAATACAATCAAGTAGCAACACATTGCGTGAAGGAACATTTTTGGTGTTACAAACACAAAGCTAAACATAATTTCAAATACATATTGGGCTATCAAATATTATCAGAAAATATAATAAAAGACAGATAATGAGTAATACTTTGTTACCAGCTCGTGTAAACATATCAAACTTATGATCGGTGAAAACCCCAATTTGGGGCGGTCAAAGTACGAAGTCCAAATATAAATGAAATTTAATAAACGTCTACATTAATAAATTTCAATGTATATTGAAGAAGCGAGCCTACAATTTCCTCAAAGGCCGGCAACGCATCTGTAGTTCCTCTGGTGTTGCGGATGTCCATGGGCGTCGTTGACCACCTTTGTGTTGGCGCCGCTCGTTTGCCCCCTTCTCATATAAAAAAAATGTATCGTCCCTTATGCGTCACGAAAAAAGTTCAACATGTTTGTCGCCAAGTCTAAAACTAACAAAACTACAGTTATCTGACTACTACGCAACAACATGTTAAAATAACCTTTTATGGACAGTACAAACGGTTGTCCTCAAATTAATTTAAAACAAAACAAAGATTCACTAAAATTAAAAAAAAAAAACAGTTAAAACCTGTGCTAACTTAGCTAGCTTACTTTTTGCTAGCTGATTCTGTTTGATTTAAATTTCAGACTTTGGCCTTACAACATATGCCGGTATGTGATGAAAAGGATTTTTTTTATCGTCAAAATACAATTTTATCAAGATAATGCTTATTCGTGTTTCAACGTGTTAGACCTAATCGACGAATAAGCATTACGTTTAAATGAAATAGTGTATAAATAAAAGTATGATAATCATCTTTTAACAACGTGTAGCATGATTCTTACATTAGATAAGAGAATCAAATGATACGATGTTTCTTCATTAAATGATTGGGTAACAAATTAGCAAGCAATCAAAACGGTACATTGGACTACAGATAGGTTTTACCATTACTGGCGCCTTCGGCGAGATTCGGTGCCCCTTGACTGTAATACTAACTGTTATGAAAAAAGGCGAAAAGGGACGGCAGGCGCCCTTGATGTCCTCCGATGGCCTAAGTAATAGCAATACCTCGCCCTAACGCTACTATTGATTAGACCTCCGTAACATGTAAAAGAGATATATCATTTTACAATTATAATGTTATAAACCATCAAAACGAACACCTGGACGACCGCTATTAATATTATGTAAAATATTTAGGTATCGGCTATAGTAGCTGTTGACACTTATTTACATTGTGAATACATTTAGCATGGATTTCTATGCCCGAAAGTCTACAAAACTATTTTTTATTTTTGGAAGAAAATTAGATATTTAACAATTTGTTTTTCTCTTTTGTACACTTTAACAACACGTATATATTTTTGAAATAGGTATCGGTTAAATGCTGACATTTTATTTCGCCTCATTAACGTGAATAAAATAAAATAAAAACAAGGTAATGAATAAAATAAAATAAAAAATTGAATAAGCAAGTTCCTATATTTGCATATTTCTTACACAATTTTTTTAATTAAAAATTTACCGTTTTTTTTCACTACCAATTGATTAAATTAGTTTTTAGCTCAAGGCTAGCAACGATGCATGGGCAGGGTCAAGGTCGTATTACACATTTGCTGTAGATAGGCTGCTCTGGTGTCAATACCTCATATACATCGAAATTCATAATTCCGGCACGCGACGCCGAAGTGAGCGGTCGCGACGTTTCAACATTCTCGTTTTTTAAATTGCCTCAGTTTGTGTTTTTCTCTAGGAGTGATCAACCGGCTAACAAAAGGTACGGTGTGTTTTTATGTCAATCTTTTATTTTTTTCCGATTAACACGTGTCATATTTAATGTTTACTTCACAATTTTTTTAATCGTAATTATTTACTTTTATCAATTCAAAAGTTACATAAGTGATAGCTTACTATTAAATATAAATCAGAAGGTATAGGTGTATCTTTCAAATGGCAAGTATCTTTGTTTTTGTGCAAACAACCCTGCGACCTACTTAAAAAAAATGATAACAATGTCTCGTAAATTACTGGTTTAGTTTGTCTTAGTTTGTACTAAAAGACATACAAATAAGGCGCAGGTAATATTCATCTAATTCGTAGATCGGATTTTTTAATCAAATTACAGGATAAAACAATTTGGTAAATACTTCGTATACCTAGTTTTATGTTTACAGTCCTTAGATACTATATGTTACGATAAAATTATATACAGAACATTTAAAGAAATAAATTAGGGAGACTTTATTGTCCTACCTACCTGCAATCTATATCGAAACTAAATAATATTCTGTCTTTAATAATCATACAAATATTATTACTAATAATACAAGTCTTTCGTCTGTATAAACTAAATTTTTGTAACTAAAATAAAATAAATAACTTAAAAACTACTAGGCCGATCTTACAAATTCTTTCTAAATTAATACATTACATTATCATTAAATAACAGTCTATATGTTTCTTTAATTTCACGGGGACGAAGTCACGAGCAACCGCTAGCAATATATACGCGAGATTGATACGCTTGTATTCGTAAAAAATATACTCCTCTACACGTGCTGTCGGGGCTGCCGTTATATTAAGGCATGGTTGAGCAATCGCCCAGGGCGCTAGAAAAGGGCGTCATCTGCCTGCGAGAAATACACAATCTCACATACAACTTATAGAAAGTGATAAAAAGGGGGCGTCGTATAAATCTCGCCCAGGGCGCTACCAGTGCTAAAACCGTTGCCACGTGTTATGAATAGTGCTAAACAAGCGGTATTTATTAACACAGTACAGTTAAATAATACCGCAAATGCAATCAATATGACTGGTGTAGTGTATGAATAAAATCGAAATGAATCTATTTTTTATTTTGTAAAATATTTTAAGAAACGGTTTTAAACACATTAATCATTTTCTGAATATAAATGATCTGTAATCCATAATTTCGTCCGCTTAGAATAGAAAAAAGTTAATGTTATTTTACTTTTTAATATGTTTGAAATTCATGAATTATAGATCATATTGCTTATAAGTCATCGATATATGATTACCTCGTACGGTACGATTGTCATTATTTAAATTTAGCTTGTTGTAATTAGATGTTTAAATAAAACGTAATAAAAGATTTACTTATTTAACATACTATATGTGAATGATACACAGTATACTATTTACCTTACTGATTAACTTTTGGACAAATAAACGCGTACAAATGTTTTTAAATCGTTCCTTTCTGAGATGTGCAGCTATGGCATAGTTATGTAATTAATAGTCTTGGGCTTAATCACATCTGCAAGTGCGCACCGTACTAATACAATTGGGAAAACGTACTAAACATGAATAAAAATATAACGAGTGTTATAGATTACTTCACATCAAATTTTAAGCATGGTTAAACATATGTTATTAGCGAAAATAAATTTAAGTTATAAATGATTTCATCCACTTTTGATTCTCATTACCAAAGTTGGATGCGTTCATCTGGCAAATAAACAATCAAATCAAACAACGAAGAAGCGAACACGGATATCGTGTAGTACTGTACTAAAAGTGCCAAATGTTCGATTAACAGAAAACGTTCGGTAACGTTACTTTTAGTACAGTGCCAAGTAACATTACTTTTTAGTACATCGTACGTGTACAACCCAAGACTAGTAATTAATATTCGTCTGTGATTTTTTACGAATGTTGTTTAGGTTTATTTCTGTACAGACTAGACTACATGTTTTATTCATTTACTACTACTAGATACACGTGCCTTCGTAAAATGGGTAATGTACTACGAGTATACATACATCTTCATAACTTGTATTTATGTAATAACTTGTTAAAGATTTTCTTTGTATCAATGTTCGAAAGAACCTATAAAAGGCTTTTATTTTCTTTTCGATCGTATTTAAAAAATCAACATAAACGAGTTAATTAAATACAGACGTATAAAGTGAAAAGAACAATATCCGCTGATAAAAAAAATATTTATGGATCTCGGTAAAGAGTATATGATAAAATCTATATAAAGGAGGTCAATTTCAGTCCACTACATGTATCCACATAATTTTTTTTATACAATACAAGGTGGCAAACGAGCAAGCGGCCATCTCAATCCACCGAAAGGAAAGCGACCGCTGCCCATAAACATCCGCATTTGTAGATGCGTTGCATTCCCCTAATTAACGGAGAAGGAGACACATAAAGAGGACATTTCCCCTTGCTATGCGTCTCCTCCACCGTCTAATCCACTTTTCCAAATTACAAATACATGGATTTAAAAACCAGTCAAGTACATCGAACCGAAATAGCAGAGTTTAATGCATGGTTTACATTATGCCAGTAGAGTATATTTGCACTGGCATGGTATAATTGTTTTGGCCAATTTATACCAGCGCTAATTTCCAAATATACTGGCATAATGGAAACCATTCTTTACGTGTTAATTTCAAACCCGTCAATAATAATGTTGCTTTTTATTTACAGATGTTGAAGGTTTTAACAATCATCGTTGCTCTGATTGCAATTGCGAGTTATGGATTCATAAGTTATCTTCAGCAAACGCCTGAACTACCTAAAATTGATTACGATCGGTGGTGGGGCAATGGACCAAAAGTTGCCGAAGACACGGCGGTTCGGCCGTTCAAAATTGAATTTAACGATACGGTAATTATTGTAAATTATTTTGTGGCTTCCAATATTTATAAGAAAGAACCAAACACCTACTAAGCTAAGAGTTTACTCCTATAAAAGAACAAAGAAAAAATACAAAAGTATTAACTTTCGTTTAGAAGTTTATTTTCTGTGGCAAATAAATGAACAATTTTTAATAATTTCTATACTAAAAATTAGACAAATAATACAGACATCCTAGCTTTATAAGTAAATGTGAATTTTAATGTTACAGATGATAGCAGATTTGAAGTCTAGGTTAAAAAACAGGCGTCCGTTGACAAAACCTTTGGAAGGTATAAAGTCAGAATATGGAATAAACACGATATATTTAGAGAAGGTTTTAAACTATTGGGTTGAAAAATACGATTTTAAAGAGAGAGCCAACAACTTAAATCAGTTGCCGCGTTACAAGACACGCATTCAAGGATTAGATATACATTTTATAAGAATGAAACCTAAAGTGCAAGGAGTGAAGACGTTGCCCCTACTAATGTTACACGGATGGCCAAGTTCTTCTAAAGAGTTCCAGAAAGTTATACCTTTGTTAACTACCCCAAGAACTGGACACGACTTTGTGTTCGAAGTAATAGCTGCGGATTTGCCCGGCTATGGTTTCTCCGAGGTAAATTCAATAGTATAATTAGAATTGCTTTACTTCTAGATAATTATATCCAGTGTTATTTATAGACAAATCATTGTTACACAAAACCTGTGTACAAACGTATCTATTATCCTTATATTGTTGTCAGGTCAGAATGATGTTGTCAATTGAAGCCGGTTATAACTTGAAACAATGCATTGCACTTTAATTCATAGCAAGTGAATTATTCATTCATACGGAAAAAATAATAATAATTTGTTATACTTTTAATATACCCACTAACATATCTTTACGTCTGGTTAGATTTCGTATTTTTCACCGTCTAAATTAATATAAGGTAATTATGCATTTAAATATTGGTGGGATTGCCATAAAAATGATCATCTCGAAAATTTTGCGACGTTAGTACATTTGATTATTTATTGAATTGCATTAATATTTTAATCAAGTAAAAATATCATTTTCCGTGCTTTCAGAAATCAATTCAAAATCTATTTGGCTGCATCTAAATCGATAATTAATCAATACACCGTTACAATGACCATTAGCAAATCGTGATAGAAAATTGGAAAACTAAAATAACTATAGCTGTTTTATGGCAGTGTTGATGATAAGATATTCTAAGACATGCTAAACGTCTCACTTACCCTACTGTTAAATGTATTTTCATTACTACTGCCAATACAAAAATTTCCAGAGACTTACACCAACATGACTCTAACGGTATTGAATTCTATACCCGAAACGAATTAAAAGTATCGTCAGCGAACACTTTATAGACCAACATTATGTTTGCATTTGCACTTAAACACGTGTACTGTTTACATTCTATTGCAACAATCAAAATGTGTCGGAATAACATAAACATCATCAGGATCCGATGTCAATTACCAATAATTAATTTTTAAATAACCATTCGAAAGTCCATGTTAGTTCGTGGATACCATTGTCACCTACCTCAAATGAATTTGGAAGGATATTTTTTTTATTTCAATTACGCACTAAGATGGTGCAATTGTGTCCACAATATAATTTAATTCATATTATTTAAATTTTTACTATAGGGCACGAATAAGCCAGGTCTCTCTGCTCTCCACATCGGAGTCATAATGAGGAATCTCATGCGACGCCTCGGTTACAACCAGTTCTACATACAAGCCGGCGATTGGGGATCGAATGTTGCCACTCACATGGTCACTGTTTTCCCGGATGAGATATTAGGGTGAGTTCACACGAAATTATTAATACAGAATTCGTTATTAGACAGCGACACAACTTTACAAAAGTGTCCACCGTTGTGTAAAATCATTTTAACAGAAGTTATAATTAAGATAATTACTTATTACAGATTCCACACCAACATGCCAATGTCCGCAAGACCTTACAGTTATTTGAAACTATTCCTCGGATCTTTCGTGCCCACATTCGTAGTGGATCCGAAGCACGCGCACAGAATATACCCGCTGTCAAATTACATCTCGTACATATTAAGAGAAAGCGGATATTTTCACATACAAGCCACCAAGCCAGATACCATCGGTACGTATTGTTATTTCTCACGCGACGAAAATTTACAAAGTCCATGTATAACAATATAATCAGTATATATTCACTGTGTATCAGTGAAATTATGTCCCGCTTTGTTGACATGTAGTCACATGGATAAATAATTACATTTGTTTAAATTGGGGTTAGTCTCCTTTGTTGCGCGGTGTACCACATACTTTAGTAGGATACAAACGAAATATTTCTCATTAAAAATCAACACCCCAAATGTCCTTTAAACATAAAGCAAACAAGACTAAAAATTATTTGTTTCATTTATAGGCGTTGGCTTAACTGATTCCCCTGCGGGTATGGCAGCTTACGTGATGGAGAAGATCGGCGTGTGCACGAACAGGGACCAGACAAACACGGACCACGGTGGTCTCGCCGGCTTGGAACTGGAGGACGTACTCGATACGCTCACCATCATATGGAACAACAACTGCATTGTCACCTCCTCCAGACTGTACGCTGAGGGTTTTAGCAAGGAGACCAAGATTATTGATAAGTAAGTTGCTTGTACGCGTAACGATTTCAAAGAATTCTTTATAGATATATGAAGCCCGGAAACGACCGCAAAAGCAAACTGGTGCTTCGGTAACTGTTTGCTTCATTTCGTTGAAGCGTAACGCGTAAGATGTAAGAACTAAGCGAAACCGTATTGCAATTTTCGTTAGATAATAATTTATTGGATAGATGGATGGCGTTAGTGTATTGCTATAATAGACTGATAAAAGTTCAGAGCTAATTAGAAATAAGTCATACTTAAAGCTTACTTAATACTTAAATCCACCGTTGTAGTCGAAATGGTCTCAATTCTCATCTTTATACACACTGAAACTATAATCGATAAAGGAATAAACGGATGGATGGATGTTTGTTAAAGTTTGTAGCCTAAACGGCTGAAGGGATCTCGATCAAATTTGGTACAGATGTAGAAGACAGTCTGTAAGAACACTAAGCTTCTTATTTTTTTCTGTTTTTTTAATTCCACGAGGACGGAGTTACGGGCGCAAGTTAGTAATTTATAATTATAACTTCAATTATCTATTTTAACGTTTCAGCATTCCAACAAAAGTGCCCACCGCTGCCGTCAATTTCCGCTACGAAGTCGTGTACCATCCGGACTGGATGCTGAGAGACAAGTTCCACAATCTAGTTCATTCAACTATTCATGATTTCGGCGGACATTTTGCCGGCTTACAAACACCTAAAGAGCTTGCTGACGACATTTTCCTAGGAATGACTGCCATTTTAGAGTTCCACAAGAAAGAAACGTAAAAACTGTTTTGTAGGTTCTTTCATTTAGTTTGAAATGTATTTGTATCCAATGATCAAAAAATAAATGAGCTTATTAAATGATAATTTCATTAGTTCGTTGTGAGCATGTTATGATGTAATGCTAATTACGTTTATGAAATTACATAGATATGTAATGATTGTATAATATTCAAGCGACTGATGTACGAAACAACTAAGCTACGTTACTTACTAGTTATTTAAATGTACTATCAATTTTTCATTTTAAAGGTATGTAAATAATAAAGCAAAACCTATAAAACACTTAAAATATTATTTCACCCCTTCCCTTATTCCCTTTAAAGAATTTCTTAATACATTTAATTCAAAAGAAGCTATAAAGGGCTTACATTTTTTATTTCGTTACTTAAATATTTCTGTAATTCTATTTTTAATATATCACGTACTAATAAAGTACAATACGATTATAAAAAAGCTTTTATTATCACTAACGAATGAATTAGTAAATAACCGAATTTTTTATATATTCTACATGGACTCTTTACAAAAGAGAGACTTTTTTACAACCTCCGAGGCGTGGTTTTATTCATATTTTCCTATTTCATTTATCAAACAATAATAATCAGAAACTGAGGTTGGAAAGACACTTATGAAAAAAAACTTACCCCCTTTTCTTCCATAAATTCCTGGACTTCTTTAGGCGCAAGAAAACCTGGCACCACAAAATCGGTTCTTGGACTGAATCCTTCAATCTTCATACGTCCGCCCAAACGAATTTTTTCACCCGCATAGTAGAGATTTCTAAAGAAAAAGGCATACAAAAATGTTGTTATAAAAAGTTTTTTTTAATATTTGTACAACATACGTACAGTCGAGGAAATCCGCGGTGTCCCACTTACAGTAAAATTTACTTGTTCCTTACAATGATACAAAATACGTCTCTTCTCATAAATAACCATTTCTTTAAAGGTTCAAAAACTTTATGAAATAGCGTATATGCTATTTTTTTTTATTGCGCCGACAACGTGGCGGGTAAAAACTAGTAGTCATTTCTAATATTATAAATGCAAAAGTTTTGATTGATGGATGAATGTTTGTTAGAGTTTGTAGCTTAAACGGCTGAACGGATTTTGATGAAATTTGATATAAATGTAGAGGATAGTCTGGAAGAACACGTAGGCTACACACTTTTATGTTTTTAATTCCACGCAGACGAAGTCGCGGGCGAAAGCTAGTAATGTCATAAAACATACCTATTGCCAATAAGTCGGCCTTTTATGTTTGTCAGCTGTCCCTCGTTCAGAGTAGGGAACTTGTGAAACAGATACAAGCTGGCCGCAAACTTGAGGAAGGCATCCCCCAGCGTCTCCGCCCTCTCCAGGTTAAAGTTGTCATGAGACTTGATGGTGGTGAGCGCCGCCAGGATGTCTTTCTGCTCCGGCCCTCGGCCCACCGGCTCCCTCAGCAGTATGTCTATCTTGTCGTTGTATCTGCAGCACGGGAACGAGAAAAATGTGGCAATTAATATAAATAAACGCGTCGTTTAAATTTTAGGTCACACTACAAACGGTTTGTCTTTTAGAATAATTAACTACATTTAAGGAATAAATATAACCTCAAAACAATTATTAAATTTAAAGAGATAAAGTGCATTTTGGCATTTAAAACTGGCAGATATGATAATTTAATTGCACAAACAGATTACACATCAATATGACACTTAGGGCCTGTCCCACCAAATTGTAATTTGTCTGATACCAATCCAACATGTAAAATATGTCATGGAAATATCGGATTTTGTTACCTTGTCTCACATGTCATTTTTAAGCTATCTGACCCTCTATCAGCCAGTGGTGGGACAGGTCCTTAAAGTTATATTTTTACTCAAAATAAATCATACTTTCATACTATTAATGCTAATATTATAAATGCATAAGTTTAGATGGATAGATGTTTGTTAAATTTGTAGTCAAAACGACTGAACGGATTTCAATGAATTTTGGTATAGATGTAGAGGATAGTCTGGAAGAACACATAGGCTACTCACTTTTTTCGACGCGGAGGGAGTCGCGGTCGACAGCTAGTTAGTTTATAGTTGTTTTTAATATGTTTGTACAAACTGACATGATGGGCGGGGGCAGTATGGCGGCGGCGCTGGGTCTG